TACTTCGATAAGACGATCAACAATCGAACGATTTTGTTTCATCAACTGGGTGATGCGTGACGGCCTTCAAAGAGACCGAGAATATGCCGATTCCTAATGACCATTTCCTCGACCTCAATTCGGTAGAATCTCGAGTCGAAATTTGTCCCCACCATGAATTCCAAGTCAGGATTGAAGCCTTCCTTTTCTGGGACGATAGGCCCATACGCCGAAACAATAAAACCAACACCAAAAGCACGATCCGTCCAAACAAGCTTCGTAAAAAGCCTATTAGACGACGTGTTGCTCTCATCGCTGCAGTCAGTCTTGCCTTCGGTAAACCAATCGCTCCAGAGTCTGATGGTTTTCACTCTTCCGCCACAAAGATTGCTGACTAGGATGGAAGAATTAGATTTGCATTCATAGATAGCAAAGCACATCTGGTAGAGAAAATCAAGGTTGTCAAGCTGTATGATCTTGCTATAGTTCACCCGCTGGGCCATTTGGGTGATATCCCCGGGCCTGATCATATCTGAGGCGAGTGAATCCAGGCTCTTATCGCGAGATACCTTCAAGCTGATGAAACTGTCTCGAGGGGGCCAATGTTTTGGCGAATGCATTTTATCCCCAAAGAACCGCTGTTTGACTGGACTGCGAGAAAGACTTAGCTCTAGGGCTTCGCATCTCTGCATCATTGCCGGGTCTGAGAGCATCATCTTCAGTTTAGATGGAGTCTGTGGGGAGAGATAATATGCAACACGACGATCCAACTGAGACTGAACCAGGCGGAAACAGGAAGGCGAAGCAAGTGAAAATCCAGACAAGCATTCACATGGTAGATAATGCAGTATCATATCCCACAGCTATCAGATGTGTTAATCAATCTCGAGTGTTCCAAGACCAGGCGAACCTCACCTCTGGGGGGAAGACTCCCAGGTGCGAGTACATTTCAAATAAATCCACAGCGCACGTTCAGCGTATTTCGGACACCCAAAGTAACACTTCTACCTATAAGCTAACGCGTGTTGCATTATATGTATTGTTGATCTCGGCATGGACGGAGATAACCTAATGTGGGTGAAGTCATTTAGTGCCCTGGATTGTCAATACATGTCGTAATGTTGTGTAGCAATGCCAATTCAGCCGCCAAAAGAAATTCCGAGGAAAATGGGAAGGCAAAAGCCTTTGCGATTCATCAAAAATATCTCGTGCGTGAGAGTCACGCAATCCACCCGTCCCCTTCGGTGTGCGGTCGAGGGTAGCAATTAGTAATGGTGCGCAGTGATATTGTGCGGAGCGCGTCTTACAAAGCTACGTGAGGGATAGAAACAACTCAATAATTTGCCGTCCCATTTGATAGAGAGATGGCGAGAGGATTCATTTCCGATCCAATGTAGATGTCATTGCATAGTGGGTTGTACAATCAGTCACCATGATTTCCAGTTTTGCTGTATCCACCGGTGGTGTGAAGGGATTTTGCAACAGCCGATGGCGAGTGGACAGGCTTCTCGTTTCTAGATGGATGGTCTGTGATTAGATAAAGAGACTCATAGGCAAGGAGAGATGACATACGTCTCCGAAGTCCACTGGTCGAGCACACCGATCACGACAAAAACTCCCAGATACAGAGATACCGCCCAAGGCTTGCTACAGTGACTGACAGAGATGCACCCGGCACATATCACGGCTTCGGCGTAGGAAATTCGTACGCTAATGTTGTCTTTGTGCGGTGAAGATTGTTGTATGATACCGAAAATGGATAAAAGGGCCCGTGTATAGACAAAGCCATGCATAGGCATCATTGCGTCATGGTAGTCCATTGGATCTCCTGTGACATAGGCCTGGATGATCCAAGCGGCTCGTAGGAATGAGCCAGCCTGATAAGCGGGACCTTTTGCGATGTGAGAAATTGCAGAACAAACAACAAAGAGGAGGCTCAATTGCCGGAGGGACTCACGCGTATGCGGTGGGTAACCACTAGGCAGCTTTTCGGCCAATATCAAAGATGTGAGAGAATGGACAAGGCACGCAACTACCGCCAACAAGGAACATTCCAAGTCACAATAGTAAAGCACGAGTTCAAGAATGCCTGATCCAATATGTGCCGGTAGTGCTGCAATGGATTAGCTTTACTCACTAAGAGGTCGCATGCCGAAGTACCTTTGTGAGGTGGCCGATAGAGCTTCCCTTTTTTCAAACAGCGGTGGGCAGCAAGTAATGCATAAAGGGTAAATAGAATGCCATCTGAGTCGTTTGTGTGCGGCCGTGTGGTGACTTGACTTGGTGAGCTTTTGGTAGATAGTCATCTTGGACGCATATCTCACATTTAACATCCCTTGTGATCTGGTTGAGCATGGGAATTATGCCCCAGGCATTCATGGCTAATTGTGCGAGTTATCAGGGTGTGGAAATTTCAAAATTGTCTTCCTGGATCTTTTCTACTTATAGTTGATCGATATTCATACTTGAGCGCACAGATGTTCCGATCCTTTTCTTTTTCAACATAACCGTAAGATAATTTTGAAGGGTGTACGGCAGATATTGCTGAAACATGCAATCGCAACGCTGACGTGGTGTATCCTTTTACATAAAAGGCTCGAGCTCAGGATATGCTTTATGTGTGAAGCCAGAAAGCCCGGCGAAGTAATCAGTCAACAATTGCTCCGCTCTGAATGAAGTCACAGTTGAATTTTTGGTCATTAGTCCTGCATCTTAAGAGCCCGGATGTATCTGGATACAAGACGAAGCCAAGTCGCCAGAGCCTTTGGGTCCATTTCTCAGGACTTGGAATGAGGCTTGAGTACTTTAAGTATGCTCCAAGTGGTGGACCTCGCATTTTTGGTCGTATGGCTACGAAATTTTGACAAAGCTCCCCTCTGTTTTGTGCTCGATGTCTTCTAGGCTGCTTTTCTTTGATCTATACAGTAGTATCGAATCCCTGATCCCAGCAGACAACTTAATTGACGAACTTATGAAGCTTCGCATGAAGGAAATAGGCAAGGTAAACTCTATTTCAAAGGAAATGATTTGTGCACATGGTTGTTAGGCACGTGGATTCCCCAGATCGCATTAGCGATGTGATGTAGATTCAAGATTCCTTTATTACGGAGTGTAGCGGAACAAGTATATATCCAGACACTAGCCGATATATATAGTAGCGCACCGTAACACCAAATAATAACGTAATATGTAGGATAGACCTGGGGACTAAATTTGGATGTTAAAGAAAGTTTGCTGAGACTTCAGGAGTAGATCTTTGAACCAGAATTCCTTATCAGGACCGAGATCTGTAGAGCCTTTATCTTCTATATCGAAATCATGACCAATGATCCGTCGAAGCATTTTGTTATAGATGTAGCTCTGATGAGATTTTTTCTGTATAAGGATCACAAGATTGTGGGTCAAGTACTAGAGTCCCCAGGCCTTGGAGAAATTGATTCTAGTTAATTGTGCCTGTTGACTACGGCTTTTATCCAAGCAAGAAAGACAAATGTGCTGTCAATTCATCTAGAAATGGTCATGTTGATATCGGGCTCTGTGGTGCTTTCTGCTAATGTTGGTTCTCTACCTCCGAAACGCCGAGAAAGACCCAGCTTTGCTTTACATACGCTCTTACTAGTCTCTCAAATTGAGAGTTTAAGATGAAATGTACATACAACCCGGGACTCTCCATATGAAATACTAAGGTCTGGGCCGGAGAGTGAATCAGAACTGAGCAGTAGCCCAATATAACGATTGCTTTCTGTCCAAACAGACTGAATGGTGCCATAGACGTATTACCTCCATTACAGAGAGTACAGAATTTCGGCAATAGCATAGAAATGCACCCATTTTCACATTTGACCAATTTCTTTCGCGATCAAACGAAATCGGCTTTTGAAATTTGTAGCACTATATTGATACAGTCACTAGCGAAATCAGCTTCCGCCCTAACGCTTGCTTTTCTTTTCTCGGGACCCACCGCCAAAGTACTAGCGGCATAGGTTTATTCAACAGACATCAATAAAAAAAACCCCTGCTGGATGTATCGAGTTGTAATTTACAACGAAATTTACCAATACAAATGAACTCAGCATTTGAAGGCATGGTTTTTGCACAATGCACGTGACCGATTACCTTCTCGCAAGGCGACTGGCTAGGAAAAATCCATCAATACTTGCCACCCTCAAGTCACTGCTTCCATGAATAATTATCCGTTAAACCACATCAAATAGATAAATGGCAGTCTACATTCCAGTAGAATCATTTTTCCCCTTACATCTGATTCGAAGATTTATGTTGTTTCCGCTGTTATGTGCGGTCTTGACTTAGTCCAAGGACGCATAGTTGGTGTTGACCGCCCTCATGATTTGAAGATTAGATGCTGATGTTTTTCTTGATTATGGAAATTCATAATGGAATAGTGAGTCTTTGTCCTCGATGATATCACATGATATTCTGCTTTGATAGTGCGGATCATGGTATTTCCATACCGACAGACAACACGTGCTCTGCTGAGAGAGGTCAAGGCGGGGTTGATTTGTTATTAGTGCCCCTTTCGATGGAAGTGGGTCCATGTAAGTTGGCTTTGAGGGGGTTTCGGTGCGGCGCGCCCCGTTGCCAATACCGCAGAACAGACTTTTCCAGGAATGGGACATCATGGAAGGTCAAGATATCTCTGCCAACAATCGTCAACTGCCTCACATAATAAATTGGACAAGATGAGTGCATTCCAAGGCTGATCTTGGCATTTCTTTGCTTCGGTGGGGTGGAGAAGACGGCTCCTACCAATAGCGTCGTTTCTCTAACCGCCCGCTGCTGCACATCGTGTTCATTATGAGGCTGAACCTCCCCGGTTAGCAAATATTTTCCCTCTATCTTACAGGGCTTCTTTCCTCCTCTCAAGCCTCCTCCGCTCTCTTTTACTCATAGTGGCATATATTGTCCCCATAAGTTAGGCCTCTATTGCACACCAGACGTCAGGACTTTCGAAAGGTCACCCGGGCAACTAATTTTCGGGCATTTTGTATCGTGTTGAAGCCATGTCAGATCCTGCAGAGTACACTGTGGGCTGGATATGCGCCTTGCCCGTGGAATACGTTGCCGCACAAGAATTCCTCGATGAAGAGCACAAAAAACCCAGCTTTGTGTCGCCAAATGACACAAACGACTATACATTAGGCAAGATGCACGAGCACAACGTTGTGATCGCCGTCTTGCCTGATGGTGAATATGGTACAGCTTCTGCGGCCAATGTAGCGACGAACATGCTGAATACCTTTCACAACGTCAGGGTAGGCCTTATGGTCGGCATCGGTGGTGGCGTGCCAAGCGAAAAGCACGACGTTCGCCTAGGCGATGTCGTGGTCAGTGCGCCTCGTGGTGGTGAAGGAGGTGTCTTCCAGTATGACTTTGGCAAGTCCATCCAAGGGCAAAGTTTTCAGCATACACGGTTCTTAAACCAGCCACCAACTACACTTCGCACTGCGATGACGGGAATACAGGCGCAATATAAGAGAAAAGGTCATAAGCTTACGGAGGCCATCGACATCATTCTCGACACAAATGTTCGGCTGCGCAGCGAGTATGAACGTCCAGAATCAACCACAGATAGACTCTTCCGGCCCTCTGTCAACCATAAATTAGATTGTGGTGCTGAATCCTGTGCAAACGATGACTCAAACTGGCTTCCGCGGCGTGAGCGATCCGATCATGAAGATAATCCTGCCATTCACTATGGTCTTATTGCATCTGCCAACCAGTTAATGAAGAACGCTTGGGTTCGAGATCGACTCGCCGCAGAAAAAGATATCCTCTGTTTCGAAATGGAAGCTGCGGGGCTGATGAATACTTTTCCATGTCTGGTCATCAGGGGGATCTGCGATTATTCGGACTCACACAAGAGCACAATGTGGCAAGGGTATGCATCTATGGTAGCAGCTGCATATACAAAGGATCTCCTACAGAGAATTCCTCTCAACAGAATTGAAGCCGAGGAGAGGATAAATGCTGTTGTGTCTGGTTAGTCTAGCGCAGTCTTTTAACCATTTTGTCAGCACTTATTGACTTGGGCATTACTTAGAGGAGCTGAAAGGTATCCAACATTGCTTAGATCAAGCATACCGTCAAAACGAACGGCACTTTAGTCAGCAGAAAGCAAGAGTCTTGACTGATCAACAGCGCCTTTGTCACCAATTGTTCAAGGTCGTCAACTACGCGGAGCAAAAGAACATAAACCCTCAACGAGCTGATGGAACCTGCAAATGGGCTTTCCAGAGCTCTGCATACATCCGTTGGTGGGAGAGCAACCGTAACGAACTTCTCTGGGTTTCTGCTGATCCAGGCTGTGGCAAGTCTGTCTTAGCCAGATCAATAATCGATGATTACTCAGAGACCTCTCATCCAACTGTGAGAATATGTTACTTTTTCTTCAAAGATAATGATGAACAGAACAATCTTGCTACGGCACTATGTTCGGTACTTCACCAGCTCTTCAGCCAGCAGTCTAGTCTATTGACATATGCCATTCCGACCTGGGAAAAGAATGGGGGGGCGCTCCGACAAGAAGTTGACGAGCTTTGGCAGATCTTGATGGCGGCAACATCAGCTGACATATCGTGCAAGACCATTTGCATATTCGATGCACTTGATGAGTGTCGTGAAACGGATCGGCGCCGATTAATTGAAAAGCTCCAAGCGTTTCATCTCCAGCCATCTTCATCAACAGAGGAAAGCTGGTTAAAATTCCTTGTGACAAGTCGTCCCTACGATCATATACAGGATCACTTCCGAGCAATCACCGATTATTTCCCGCATATACATGTCAAGGGGGAGGAGCAGAATGACCAAATCCATCAAGAGATTGATTTGGTGGTGAGGACTCGGGTGAGAGAATTGGCTGAAACAGTACCACTGTCACCAGAGCTTCACCATCAAGTTGAAAGAAAGCTGCTTCAAATGGAACACCGTACATATCTTTGGCTGCATCTAGCCATTGGTGACATCCGTGCTACCTTGAAACACAGCCTTCGGCCCGGAGCGAACTCGATCACACTGCTACCGTCTTCTGTGAATGCAGCATATGAAAAAATCCTTTGTCAAGTCCCAGTTGATGAGATAGACATAGTCAAAAAGATCATGGAAATCATTGTGGCGGCGCGACGTCCCCTGACAATACAAGAGATGGCCATTGCGTTAGGAATTGCCACCTGCTCAAAACCGCTAACAACAAAGCAGGCTCGGTTAGATTCAAGCAATTTAAATGAAAAGCTTCGGCAGTTATGCGGGCTCTTTGTTTTTACCAGCAAATCAAAAATCTACCTCATCCACCAAACAGCCAGAGAGTTTCTCATCAGCAAAGGGTTTGTGCGACCAGAGAGTATGGTATGGCAAGGATGTGTCAATGACCAAGATGCCAATCGAGTCCTGTCGGAAATTTGTGTGGCTTACTTACACGAGGAAATCCAAAAGGGTTCGTGCCAACTCCCCACGGGTGCAGAATATTGCACTGAAAGTGATGCCTTTTTGAGGTATTCCGCAACATATTGGATTGAGCATGTGCGTAGCACAAGCGGTTTCGAGTCTCGCTTTCTTCGCCTGGCGGGTAGCCTCTGTTGTGTAAAACAGGCATCAGTGTGGCTCAGATCCGTAGAGCCACCGTTCCGGTACTGTTGCTATGCACATGAGCCACTGCCGTTCTTCTGGGCAGCGAGGTGGGGATTGGACGATGTCGCATACTTGCTTTTGGAAGATTCAAAGATCCAGATAACAACTGAAGTTTTGGAAAAAGCTGCGGCTAATGAGCCTGCAGTCATGAAATTTCTTCTAGATCGAAAAGGAGATGAAATCAGGATCACTGATAGTGTTGTGCAAGAGGCTGCCGCCAATCAGGAGAGTGGACTCGCAATCATGACAATTCTGATTGAACGAACTGAACGGAGAGGAGAAGAATTAAAGATTGTCAATGACGTTCTGCAAAATGCTGCAAGGAATGGAAAAAGTGGGTTGGCAATCATTAAGCTTCTTGTGGAATTCCTTCATCGCGGAGGCAACAAAGTCACGATCACGGGCAAGGTCTTGGAATCTGCCGCAGCGAACTGGTGGAGTGGACTGGACATCATACAGTACCTGATAGATCGAAAGGATGTCGCAGTGAGGATCACACGAAGGGTCCTAAGAATGGTCTTGAAGCATCCTCTTGGGGACGATATTCTACGCCTTCTACGCCCAAGAAGTTCCCTAATCAGAAGGATCCTCCGGAAGAAAATCCCGAATCACACCCGCGCACGCCTCGGCGGCAATGTCAAATGGAACATAAGAAGGAACAAAGCAAAGCTGAATATGAAAGCCAAGCAAACGTGCCGTAGTGATTAGCCAGATAGGAATGCAATTTGTCTCGGTTCTCTATACCGACTTATGATATGCTCAACAATGAAGCTCTTCGTCCACCCTGGACCAAAAATTCTTACATGAAAGCTATACTTATATCACCATTTATTGAAATACTATCATTATCACGTGTCAAATGAAGTGTAGTATTAAAAATATTGCTAGGGTAAATCTGGGGTATTTTTCAAGAATTACGTAGATGATGTAACAGACGGGTCAGAAAAGAATAGCATGTCTAGGTACCTACTCCACGGCGTAATTCTATAACTGTGACTATGCGGTCAAATAAAAGGAACGAAGTAGCGTCTTGGCAATGGGCCCCGGAAATAAAAAGTCCTTGTCTAGGGTGGAAGCTGTTTTCGCTAGCGACTGTATTTGGGTCAATGGGGAAATATGTTCAAGAGCAGTCAGCCGAAGCACATCCCATCTCTACCTCAACAAACGCGCGCTCCCCTTTTCACCCCCCCAGTCCTGTATGGATTCAGAGCGAACAGGGCTGCCGTTTTCCTCCCCACGGTTATCAATGATTGAGGACAACCTGATCTCGCGGGTGTAAATCTTTGACCAGCAACCGGAGGATGATTGTCAATTCAATGCATCTATAAAGTTCTGCTGATTGAACTCCCACCATCATCACAGAAGCAGAAGCACAGCAATAACAGCCTGACTGATTTGCAATTCAATATATCACATACCCCGATTCTAAAGTTGTTGAACGAGTGATTGATTAGACTTCTCGGTGAATTTGATAGAAGGGAGTGGACAGCGTTAGACTGTCACTTGTGCAACATGTTTTCATCAAACGTTAACATTGTTCATGATGATATAGTTACGCAGGTGAAAGACATCTATAAGAGCTGGACTCTCACCTCATGTCGGTCACATAAGACTCTGATCCTCCCGTGTCTTTCCTGAAAGACTTTACACTTCAGCTAGCAGGTTCCAAACGTCTCAAAGTTTGAAGATGCAACGCCTAACTATTGAGCTTTTGCCCAACGAGATTATTGAGCATATTTTCCTAGAAGCGCTGGAGGTCAACTTAGCCCGCGCCTCGAGTGCCATCGCTGCTGCGGTATCGCAGGAACGTATTTATGATGCGTTCATGATACACGCATTTTGGAACGATCCACAGGACTGCATTCGAAGGCGTCACTTTGATACAGAATCGACTTATGTGAATCTGAGGCTCAGAAAGAGAGACTACCAGGAAAGCCGGTTGTTCGGACGGAAGTTTCAGCCTGCTCGATACCAACCCATGAAGATTGAGAACCAAAGAGAACTCCAAAGCAACGTCATTTCTTGTCAATGGTTTAAGATCCATCGCTTTCAACGAATTCTTCCAACCTTACTCGCCTTGACACTAGAGGCGTTGAGGTTGCGAGAAAGGGCACGCTTTCCACTGCTGAAAAACCAAGCAAATCACCCCAGTACGAATTCAAAACTGGTGTTAAATTGCGAAATTGATCATGACATAAATGATGGCTACCCAAAGCGACTGCGAATCGTTGACGATCTGACTATAAAAGCCACCTACCAGACCCCTGTACACGGGAAGCCACATATCATCCGAACAGCGCGAATATTGGTTTTTCCCGACAGGATTTTGCAAGGCCCGTGGGACACGAATCGCTTAGGCTTACTGGTCAACCTGCGTCGTGTCTTCGGAAAACGATTCGGGTCGTTTGTTTCAAGCGTGGAGAAATCAATCCAATCATCAATAGCTCCTATGTTTTCCGACCAAGCCTGTCTGCGGGGAATGGAGGTTGCGATACGCCAGAATTCTCGACTTGCAATTACATATCTCATGGACATCAGAGAAAACTTTCCACTCACTTGCACCAGTGGGATACAGAAAGTGCCACTTCCAAACCATCTCCTGACGATGGCGATGGAGAATGACACGACGGATTTTCAAATCCTTTGCTTACTGATGCGGGCTCTGGTACCTGCTATTCGGCCGAGTTCTGAAATGAGTAAGTGGACGAAGTTGGCAATTCTTCATGGAAATCTAGGGGCAAGGTGGCTGTTGGGCTACCTTCAAGGAAACAATTCCTCTCTCAGCGGGATCAGAGTGTGGAGAGCAATTCAAGAAACCCAGTTGTCAAAAGAACCCCTACTAGACAGCGAAATTTGGGTGTGAACTCAACACACCATAAGGAGAGATGCGATCGTAGTTGAGAATCTTTCCCAGGCCGGGCATGTTCTAAGACCTACTCATCTTCTTTGAATGGATTATATATAAAGATCTTCTCAATATATAAATCACACGAAATCACAAGAGCCGGCCATTTCGGTCTGCCAAATCATGAAAATGCCATAGCATGCACCTGAGTATCGATGCCGTATCCCGAGGCAGCAATGATTGCTATTCGTTGGAAATATTTGTTCCGATAAAATCCTGGTTTAAGACTAATTCTAGCTGTTAGCCATAGTGCCAATGTATGTGCTACTTCCGTTCGTCAGAACGCGTTCTGTGGTCGTGAGTATATCGAAACGTAGGCACTATCCCGTTGAGCGTTGTTGGGATTTGACAAGCCCTCCCCATCGCCAAATGGATACCTCTGCTGTGGCTGGTTTCTTACGTGGTTTTTTCGACGTGCCCAAACAAATGTGATAAACATTAGGAAGGTTCCGAGTGCTACGCCCCCTGTGATGACCCCAATACTGGCGCGGCTAACGGACCTGAAGGAAGCAGAGCCGTCTGGATTAGATCCTGGGTGTGAATCGTCCGGTGTGGAAGTGTTGACGACCGTGGACGAAGAGAGAGACTTGGCCTTTGTGGAGAAAATTGTTTTTGTTCCGCTTGTGAGTGCTAGTCTCGTTGTTATAGGATCTATCGAGATCTCCAACAAGGAAAGTACAGTGCTACTAATGGAATTCAGCAACTAGAATGACTGTGAAGGTCTTCCCGGATCTTTATGCTCACCTGGTTAAGGATAAAGGTACTGATGTGTCAAACTTTTTGTCATCTCCGGCCAGGGTGGGATTAACAAGAGGTCTTGTAGTACTCATTGTAGATAGCAGCTGGACGGAGCTCGTAACGAAACTTGTGGTGCTACTGCCTCTATATTGTGTAGAAAGACGGTCTTTTGATCGGATCGAAGGCGAAGAGGATGTGACGACCGATGGTCCAGTGTAGGTACTGGACAGTAGACACTTTGCCCCATAGCAGGCCGCTTGGGGAATACCTGTTGTTTCAATCACGACGTACCCGTTCCCCAACCGCTGTGTGCCCGTTTGGATGAATCCATTACTGTCGAGCTGTGCAGGGCGAACTGATGAGGTTGATTCTAATCCATTGGATCCAACTATGAATCCAGTTTCAAGAGCATTCACAGGCTCTATCCTGCTTATGTGGGAGTTCAAAGCGGGTGGGTCCTCTTGCGGGACAGAGGTGGAAGTTACCAACACCCGGGATGGATTCGTGAATAGCCCTTGCCTACTAGGAGCATCGCTCATCCATGGGACAGTGGATATACTGCCATCGGGGTAAAACCTGGCAGAAGTTGAAATGGCGGACCTTTGGGACGGAGTGGTCATGGTGGTGGAAGCCATATCTTTGGGTTGCGTTTCTATGAAACAATCATTAGTAGGAGGCCGGGACAACTCGAAGCTTTGGGGCTCCCTGGGTACTTCCTTTGTGATTTATTGACGTTGCTTGTCAGAAGGGAATCTCTCGGGGAGCTTTGAGGATGCCAATGAAACTTTCGGGGGCACTCACCATCCTTTCCTATCACTGGGGTAGCAAAGAGATCTTGAGACAGAGGGGGTCGAGAGGGCAGGGCAGATTTCAGGTTGTATAGAGCAAGCTTGTGGCTTTTTGATGTTGACACTTCAATATCCCCGAAAGCGGGCTCAGAACCCATATTAGCAAAAGAGATTTCAAAAAGCTTTTGCACGTATGTCCCAGTATAGTTTCTCTGTGGTGGTGTCGGCACGAGACCTTGAGAGAAGGGTATAATATGCTCTTCTTTTCGGGAACACCGAGGATAGTCTACCCCGATCTGGGCTCTCTCTCTCTCCTCCATTTATAGCGTCCCCAGCCTTTTCGGTCCAACTGGCACATTACTAAAATGCACTGATAGAGTATATACGGATTGATCAAAACATGTGTATCGTACGATGAGTCTATACCCAAAGTCTTCCACCTCTGTACAACTAAAGATGTTCTTTCACATTTGACAGATAGATCGTCTATTAGCGCCCGGAATGGAGGTCAAGAAAATCATTAGATTGATTGAACACTATATTATACTCGTCTAAATTGAGTTACTGTATTTAAGTCCGGATCCTGTATCTGAATAGCTTACAACCGATAGGAAAGAAGGAGATCTTGGTTTAATATATACTGTGTTACATTTCACTTCGACCAGCCCACAACACGGTCTATGGCAAGTGAGACCCAGAATCTCGTGAATATATAATAAGTAGTTATGTAAGGGTAATTCTTTTACAGAAGGGCAGAATATATATCGACAATCGAACACAATACCACACGTATATATATGGAGAATCAAGAGGACGCATCCGTCTTTATCTGCGTTCCTCTTTGAGTTTCCAGAATCTCATAGCATACATCACGAGATCTCCATTCTAAAAGCTGGAAGCAAAAGCAATCCAGTATCTATGACAATTGTTTTGTGCCTCGTAATGCGTACAAAGCTAAAGACCGAATAACCAAATCGATTGATTGGAGTATCTCGAAGATATATGGCGTCACAGCTTTGGAATTGTAGATGAGGCGAGGTCCTATCCAGCATCAAATGAAAGTTAACAATTTTAGAATACGAATAAAAAGGTATTTTTAATGCTCTTTACTGCTTCTATATCGTAATTAACTGTTATTCGACAGTGCAATGTGAATGATCCGCCATGGTGTAGAATCATATATTTGCCAGAGTAGATCTACGGTGGCTTAGCGCTCGTTTCTGCCTATCAGCTAACTATATCCGGCTGATCGTCATTCCGCATGATTGCTTAATATT